TGATAACAGATGAATGTTAAGGGCAGTAAAGTATGGCCAAAGTTGGATAAATTAGCAGAGTTATTAAAAACAGTGCAGTTTTGAGAAATACTTTGCAAAATGCCACTGCGCGACAGTAAAACAAATATTTTATTTATCCAAGTAGATTACTCTAGAGTGAACCAAATGTTCGAGTTAGAGAGGTGAAGAGTGAGACAGCTGCTTGGGAATTTCTCAACTGCCTATATTTGATTACGACTTTGTAGTCCAAATTTGGACTTTTTGAAAAAAAAAAAGAGTGTACGATCTTTGTATGTTTAGCACAGCAAAAATGCCGTCGCATTGTTTAGTTTGAGCCTAGTTTAATCAACTTCATTTAATTTTCTTGGTATTACAAAAAAAAAAAAAAAAAAAAAAAAAAAAACAACAACAACAACAACAACAAACTTTAAATATATGTATATATGTAGAAAGAACAGAAATGACGGTTGCTTGTATTCAATCAATCACAATATAGTGAAAATTCCAAAAATAACAAAAATAAACTAATAATATAAAAATAATAATAATAATAAATAAAAAAGGTAAAAAAATAAATAAATAAATGTTGATTTATTCATTTCAACTTTTCTGACAGTAGTGAGTCTAAAATGCCAATGCAAGAGAGAAATACAAGAGTTTAAATAAAACTAATAAATGCATCCAGATTCTGTTAATTACAGTGCACTGTAATGCTTGAAATGTTGTCGAAAATCGTGCAAAATTGAGCTCTATGAAATGAGTTTCATAGGCTAACTTGGCTGTGCTCAGGAGATATCACAACTGATCTGTTGCATTTTATAAATAATCTGAACTGATAAATGTCGAGTGCGGAGCAACTCTTTTTAGAGCGTCAACGTGCGTCAATGGAATCTCTAAATCAGATTCACATTCCACCCAGAAAACGAAAAGCCGGTAACTTGTTGATAAATATGTATATACATATATATATGTATATATATATTTTTTTGCTATTTAAGTGCGCCAAGAGTTGTTTAGAAGAAAATGTATTATTCGATTCAAGTTCGAATTACAATTTCATCTAAAGGCAATTATATATTATGATATGGTATACATGATATATACATATATATATATACATGTATAAGACTGTCTCTATAATATACATTTAATTTGTCTGCTAACAAATGTTGTCTAGCGATAAGATTAAAGCCACAAATCATTAATATAATTGCAATTGGTGGAAATAAATCTAGGTTCGATTTGATTTTGTTTAAAGTGTTTTTTTTTTTTTTTTTCTTTGTCACAATTTATCAATTTATTTGTTATATCAAAAAAATGATGTTATCGAAAATGATAAGCTGATTAAATCGAAGGCAGTTAATTCGTTTGATATATGAGTGTATATACTTATGTATACTTATTCTTATAATTATTAATTCAATACAATGTTATATCTATATATTCATACATTTATCTAGATTCGCATTATGCTAATATAAAGAAGAGTCCAAGATCATTTGCTCTATGATCTAATACACAAAGCTGCCAATTGAATTAAGCAGCTTTTTGTATGCCAATTCAAGACGACGAAATTACATAAAAAAAAGTTCTAAGAAAAAAATTAAATAATAAAAAAAAAAGAAAAATAAGTAAATCTTATCTCTTTGGATTGCAGATAAAAAAGAAAAAAAAAAACACAACGCCTCGAGTGTGAAAAGGCGCGCTCTTTTGTGAGTGTGTGTGGGTGGGTTATAGAGTATGGGCCTCGGGTACGGCACGGATTGGCTTGTCTTATCGCAGGCGCTTAGATAAAGAGCCGCGTCAGTGGCCAGGTAACCAGGTAACACAGCCCTGGCACAGGTACCCCAGCGCATTGGGCTGTTGCCTCTGAGAACGTGGGATCATAAAACCCATGATGTCAGCTTGGCATATGTGCCTGTCTCTGTCAAGATTTCAGTTCAAAGGTTACTTTTGGCATGAACTTGACTTTGCAGGCAAGAAATTAAATTGATAAACTTGGGATTAAGCTAGGATTATTAATATATGGTTTATGTGTATGTTTGTATATATTTGTTTGTTATTGGTAATTCTACTGCTTACCTAATGAAATTTTCCCAAATGAAGCCAGTCAGAATGTTGTAGTCATACGACTGCGGGATACCCATTCAGGGCTCAAACACTGCCAGATGCGGTCTCGGATTTGCCCCGCCCCCAATTGATATACATATATGTATACCATTTTTGTGCAAATCAATATATCCAATATATTTATATCCAAATATCAAATCTCTAGCATAAATATCATTGAAATGCTTAGACAGACGGACGGATACATTGCACTAAGCGAATGTACTCATTTCACTTTCATGATGAGTATGTGAAGCTAGACAGAAATTATTGTTTATTGACTGGCAACTAGAGCGAAAATTATGTATATTTAGTTTGGCGCGTTTGTATCTTATCTTGAAAACAATCAATGCTTAATTTATGTCGTATCAAAATGTTGAAAATTTAGTCACGATCTGGTGCCTGTAGGGCAACACCACAAAAATGCCTGGCTTATCAATGTGAAATATCTTTATAGACTCAACAGCTTGGTAACAGACAGTGAAATTGTTTTAGTTCTGATACTTTTTTTCTCCTCTTAAAATACTTGTATATGAAATGTATCTATTTGTGTGGAGCAGAAAAAAAAATCAAGAAAAAGAAGGACTTAATTGTCCAAATTGATTAAGTATTTCTCGATCATTTGGTAATTTGTGTTCACTAATCTGCGAAACAAGTATTTCTCATTAGCGTTTTGTGAATGGCTTTCCGTTTACTTAAGTCGGTTCTAGGTGATATGTTTCAATTAATGTAGAGAATTTTGAAAATTGATCAATCAAAATCTTTCCATAGAACGATCGCAAATCGTTATAAGAAATGGAGGAAGTTCTAAGACGAATATCATGCTCAATTATCTTCTATTCTTCTAATATTTATATATAAATCTACAAATATTTAATTTATACTTTAAATATAATTACAAAGCAATCAAATGTAAACAGTTTGCAATGAATGACTGAAAAAATATAAATATATACATATGTATGTATAGTATATTCATTTGCAAATCGGAGAGCTTGTCATCAATGCAGACTCGAACGGGTTGCTTGGATGGCGTCTCCGTCTGTGCGTTATCAGCTTGTTGCTTCAGCTCGTCTGTTTATTGTTGCTATTAAGTGCAACTGCAACAGCAACTACAACAACAACTACAACAGCAACTACAGCAGCAAGAACTGAGCAATGATAATTCATAGTGAACGCGAACAACTTCACAAATTGTGCATCAATTGAGCGCCCAAAGTGCAATAATAAAGCTCAACTTGATGTGCAATTGGATGAACAATGACAGCTGGGCAGTGATGCTATATATATGGTATACACATATATAATATATAGAGTCCTAGTCAAAGTCATCTACAGCAAACATAAACTGTGAAATCAGAGCGCAGCCATGTAGATATATATATATTTATATGTATATATGTATATATATGTGACAGATGCTGGACTCGTATGCATTTTGCGTACAATCGAGTTCAATGACCTCTGTGTCTCTAGCTGCATCCACGTTGCATTATCAGCAGCACGAATGCGTTGAAAGTCGAACCATTTTTGCATTGTGTTCGCATAAGGCACTTGATTCGGTGTCTCTGTGTATAAACTACAGACATACATACATGCATATGTAACGAAATTCACCATATATACACATACATACACAAACGTATAGATATAGATGTTTTCTTGATCGAACAGCGTTGCGAACACCAACTGCTAAACGCACTTTGCTGCAATTTTTGATTTCTTTTCATTTTGTCATGCTTATCGGGGAATTCTGGTTCCAACAGGTTTTATCTTGATTTTGTTTTATATATATTTACCTGTTCCATCTACGCGGCTTCAAAAATATTTACAATTTGTGTAATAATCTGTAGATTGCTATCTTCAACAGATGTGTTTGTGTATAGGGCTTCAATTATATATAAATATTACGTCTTAGTACGCCTTACGTTCTAGACTGGTTTTCATTTATGAGAAAAGAACATGAAGCAAGGGTTCTTAGTCAGTCGGTCTTTGTTAGATTACGCCTCTGTCCTCTGTACTTGGTATTGAAAATAGCTCTTCGGCTCTTATTTCAGTAGCTGATTCTTGGAAAAGATCTTCATATTACCATAGTAACAAACAGTTAATACATCGTATTACTGTTTTTTTGTTTGCTCTCGAATTGAAATTTGAATCAACCTTAAGCTTTGGGTTTTAAATTCGGACATTTAGCTTTAATAGGCTTCGCTTCTAGCAAAGTCTGGAAGTCATTTTATACAAATTAGTTATGAGTTTTTTATGAATTATATATGAATATAAAAAAATGGTATATACTTTCGTAATTATATATTTTTATTAAAAACCTATTAATATGGTTAAAGATCTTTATAATCAGAATGCTCCGAATACAATTATATCAATAATTTGTGGATATATAATCATAGACTAGTCTTTTCCGACTTTGCATCTACCGCCGGGTTCTACCGTTTCTTCGAATCTCTTCTCTGCCTTTTTTCTTCCTTTCTCTGTTATCTGCTCTTCTCTACTCGCTCCTTCGCTTGTATTTTCTTTTATTCCAGTCAGTTTTCTTCTCTTCGTTATTCTTCTCTTTTTTCTCTTATCGTCTCTTCTATGATCTTGACCTCTCGCTTTTTTCCTTTCTCTACTCTTCTCCCTCTCCCATTGTTTCTTCTCTTCTCTATTAATTATTCCATTCTTTCTTAGCTCTTCTTTTCTCTGCCCTTCTCTATTCATTTCCATTCTCCTTTTTTCTGTTTACTTTCCCTCTCTTCATTGCTTTTCACTTTCCGTCTCCTCTTATCTCCTTTCATTTGCTTCTACGGCCGGAGCCCATATTACAATAACGTTAAATATTGCCTGAGTGGAATAGTTAAGTTTAACCTATTATGTTTTCTCTTCTTCTTTTCTAGGCATGCGTATGACCATGTCCACAAACTCAACGATGAGTCCTCGCATCCATCGCAAAGGCTTTCGCATACCATCGAAAAGACAGCCGGGCAAGGGACTGCCGGGCAAATTGCACACTATAGCCAGGGTAAGCATATCATCATATACGATATGTATTTATATTTTACTTAAATCTCAAATATTATCGTATGGTTCTGCAGACGGGTCCGGGGAAGCTAGTGCCAGGGAAACGAATACCACAGAGACCGCATCCGCCGCCCTGCGACAATTCCAATGACAGTGGCTTGGGATTCGATCAGCACACGGAGCTGCGCAATGGCACTGCCCCGGTTGCTGTCGATGCCAGGAGCAGCAACCCCAGCAGCAGCAGCAGCAGCAGCAGCAGCAGCAGTAGCAACAGCAGCAGTTGTAGCAGCAGCAGCAGCACCAGCAGCAGCAGCAACAGCAGTGGCATCCCAGGCAGTGGGCAGCATTCAAATCTGATAGTAAATAGTGTGACTGCAGGTGCGGCAAGCAGCAGCTCCTTGCAGCAGCAGCAGCAGCATCATCAACCGCAGCAGCAGCAACAACAACAGCAGCAACAGCATCCGCATCAACAGCAGCAACAACATTCACCGCAGCAGCATTTAATACGCGCGATACCTGTTTCAAGGTGAGTCCATCTACCCTTTCGTTCAATCAGCTGTTCAGTTCTTCTCACACACTCACCTGCATCGATTCATGTACACACACTCACACACACACTTACGCACACACACACACTTACGCACACACACACACTTACGCACACACACACGGACACACATGGGCTAGCTGTTGAGCTGAATTTATTGCAAATTGAGACGCGCTCAGTTACTGGGCCACTGGATTGTTTAATTTCGCCAAAGCCCCTTCGATTGTTGCTCTATACATAATAATAAAAAATATATATATGTGTGTGAGAATCGGTTTAGTTCCGAAGTTGAAAATGCTTGGATCTTGGAGTACGGTTACCATATCGTTGGATCACTGATCGCTGACCAACAGCAACGCCTTTCAGTAGTGAGCCGCACTTGCTTTCGTAAGGAAGTGCTTCAAAGTTGACTTGACAAAGTGACTTCACTTTTACCAATTCCTTGGCAGCATGAGGACGCTGTAAGTGCCGCGCATCTATCAGATCTCGTCGCGTTAACTCGAATGTATTCATTGGCCAAGTGACGTGAGACCAGTTCACACAACATTTAGATAATTGCATTCATGTCGCGCGCCTCATGAAAATCTCGGGACATTTGCATTTCAATTTTCATCGCTCAGCACATTTTCTCAATTGATAAATGTTTTAATCAATTTCAAACATTTTTCTCGCTCAGCTCATTTATTTTATATATTTATATAAATGGTGTTTACAGTGGCCGCTTGCCGGTTTTCTCTTTAACAATTTCGTTAAAATGAATTTGTATGAGATTTTTGACTATGCTCGATATTCATTTTATGATATATATTTACTTGTGTGTTTGTGTATTTATTTGGATAAATTAAGATCTATTCAAATGGTTGGATTTTTCAATTTTCGCTTAACACTTTAATAAATAATAAATAAAATCGAAAATAATAATAATAAAATAAAAATAATTTAAATAAAATTGAAATTCAATAAAAAATAAAAACATACAAAAAAATTATAATAAATTAATAAAGAGTTTTAATGAAAAAAAAAAAAATCGCAAAAATTAAAATTTGAAAAGTAATATAACAAACCCAATTAAATTAAATCAAAAATAAAATTTGTTAAATAATAGCAAAGTGAATAATAAATAAATACAAACAAATCCCAACGTGATAATAAATAAATACAATTAAATTGAAATAAAAATCAATTTAAAATTAAAAAATAAATTAATAATTAAATTAAATTAAAATAATAAAACAAAAATAAATTGAATAAAATAATAATAATAAATAACATTAATAATTTGAAAAATAAAAAATACTTCTCTGCTCTGAAATACAAACTATAGAAATCTAAAAAATATTTTAAATATTCGATTCGTAATACTTTACAATGAAAATTGTAATTATATTGAAAAGTTACATGAAAAAAGAACTTATTTATACCAAAAATTAATTTAAAAATTCCAAAGAAATATTTTGCATTACTGAACTTATAATAATTTATAACTCAAGCAATTTATGAGTTCTTTAAGTTGAAATGCAAATCAAAACTAAATAATAAATAACAAAAAAAAAAAGAAAAACTTAAGAATTTTGGGTTTATGGACAGGTTTTGCGCGATGAATTTAGCTTTTTTTTTTTTTATTTTATTTGCTGGTATTGTAGGTCAGGGTGAATGTGTTTAGAGACTAGTATTATTCTTTGGAGTGTATGTGTGTGTGTTTGATTATATAGTAAAATAGTAATACTTATGACCCATTATTATTTCAATGCCTGTAATTGAACTGTATCTTATCAACTAATTCTATCAACTGCAGCTGAGATTCAGTTTGCCGGCTACTCGAAAGCCTCCTGCTTATCGCCCTTGTCTTTATGTCACTCAGTAGAATAAGACTTAGTGAAAAGTGCTCTGTTTTGATTTATACAATTCTTAATCGTTTAATGGACTCAAACTGGGTGCTGCCAACTCGTTTTCGCTAAGCCTTAACAAATTGATCGAATTGATTGATATAAATGCAAAATCAATATATTATTTCAAGAAAAATCATGTAAGAACGTTGCAATCGAACGAATGCCTCCAGATCCCATACCATTTTCCGATTTGCCATTGGAATATATATGTACATATATTATTATTTTTGAGTTTCTAGCTCTAAAACAGTAGAAAACACAGTTTTCCCAATATGCGACGGCTTCAATGGGCGTAGATATATCCACCATATCCTATTGATTTTTTAGGGCTGTCAACATATATTAAACTACAACTATAAACAGGAAATTTTAATACCGATTTATCTTCAATTTCTTAATATAATATTATATGTTCACCATTTGATCAATCTATCTCGACTTGAGCTTTTTGTATTCCTCTAGAGATTAACACTTATATATATTTATTGTATATTTTTGTATGTATTTTATTACGCATACGTAGTATCATTGTGTGTGCCTATGCTATGCTGTGATGTCTAGAATTGAATGACTGAATGCTCAAATCACAATTTATTATATATAAATATTTATAAGGTTATGACATCTTCCGTACATTAGGCAGACACTTGCGTCGACTTCATTCTGATTTCTGTGATTCCTGCCTGTATATAAATAGATATTTGGAATTTATTACGTATACGCCATGTTGTGATACCAGCAATTCTAGTGATAATTGCCGCACATAGATTTTTCTTTGATTAGTATTGCAAAACTTTCAATTATGCTCGCTCAAGCAGGGAGAAGAGTCCATACAGTTTCTTTTTGTAGCTTATGCTGCGCAAGTTGGAGCCTTGAATGTGAAAGTCAGAAAACTTGTATAGACTCTTTCGGTTGTTTATACTTCTACTTGTAAAGCTAGAATTTCTTAAAGGTCACTTCTCTAAGTATAATCTATACAACAAATAGTCGCTCACACGGTCAACAGAGTATATTCGCATTTTCTTTCTAAAGATTTGAATCTGCCCTACTCTCGCAAATACCATTGTATACTCTTCTGTGAGTTTGAGTGTAAAAAATAGGATAATTTTTGACTCTACTTATAATCGATGTCTCCCATTGCTTTATAGCTAATTATAGAACTAAGTGGTTCTTGAATCTGTAATTTATACTCTATCTATACTGTAGACCGCTTAGACAGATCTAATTTTTGTAATCAATCCGTTTGAGTGTTTGTTATGTGTCATGAGTGTATACATTAAGTGATTTTTGAACGAGTATTTTGCAGTCAGTTGTAGTCGACTGAAACGTTCTAACCTGTACCGAATCGCTAATTGCTGATTCTGCTATTACTGATTGAGATTTTGCACGTTGTCAAATATCAAGTTATGTTATGAAATGTTTAGTGTCATAACAGCACTTGTTTATTTATATATGTATATATATGGGTATATGAGTGTATATATATAGAATTAATATATAAATATATACTGCTACCTTTGACTATATCACCTTGACTATGAGCACATCGGTTTCGATTCTATGCAATTGCCTGCATTGCAATGCCGTTACAGCAGCCCTTATAGAAGCTATCATATAATTGTATTTGATCTCTGGTATTTTGGCTTTAATTCTGAACTAGTTCACTGAAATTTGGGAATCGAAATAGGTATATCAATTCCATGACTTTGATTTAGTTGTCTTCGCTGAATAGTTCCAAGAACTAGCTAAAAAGAAAATATTGTTTGATAGTTTTGAAAGTAGTTCTCTAGTTCCAAGAGGCTTTGCCAACTTCTGTTTTTCTTGCTCAGCTAGTATTTTACAACGTTTTTAGCTACTTGGAACTAGTTCAGTTTGACAAATTTTCTCTATTTTTTCATCATAAATAAATTATATATACATTTGTATGTACATGTATTTGAACTAGCTCAAATGAACTAGCTGCTTGGAACTAGTTCCAAGTTCAGTTTGACAAATTTTCTCTATTTTTTTCACCACAAATAAATGATGTATACATTGGTATGTACATATAGGCACATGTATGTATACTAGTTCAAATGAACTAAGTCATTGTGCACAGTAAGAATATTCAAAGGTTCGTTGCAACTTGTAATGCTGTTCATCTTCTTGGATGCTATATCAAAAGTTGCATTAAAGCCCCGTTTAATGGCGTCTGTTTATATGTTCCCATATCTTGAGTTTATTTTTACCAGTGCTTTGATTGTAATTTGATATAGGTTATGATAACGCGAAGGCTTGAATTACACAATTTGAAACCAAATATATGTATTTTATTGAACACCATCTCAAACATGATTTTGATTATTATTGCCAATAATGAAATTTGTCAATAATATAAACAAATCGAATTTTGCACCAGATCAGAGTAGCAATAATATTGTTAATAAACAGCTCAAACCGCATATACTCAATATAACTGTATGTGTCCATAAATATATATATATATATATATGTATGCATATATGTGTACCTAAATATAGATCGCGTCATGCTCAGAAAATGCTAAACTATCTGGATGAAATCGAATCGAACTCTTCGCCAACATTCGTGGACGATCTGGTGACGCCGCCGAGCAACGATGAGGACACCGGCTTCGGCACCGACAGTAATCAGGCAACAGCGACAACCACAACAGCAACATCGATACCGTCGCTCAGCTCCGAGTTGTTCGGTGGTCTATTTAGCACAACGCTGCGCCATAAGACAGCTGATGTGGTGCTCACTGTACAACAGCCACAACAATTGCAGCAGCAGCAGCAACAGCAGCATTTCCAGCAGCAGCAGCAGCAGCAACACCAACAACAGCCCCAGCAGCAACTATTTCAGTATCCCGCATTAAATTTACATCTGCAGCAGCAGGAAGCCACCAGCGAGGCGGAGAGCAGCGGCAGCAGCGGTGCCAGCAGTGGCCGCGGTGGCGGCAAGCACCTGAAGCGGCGCAAGCTCGAGTGCAATCAGGTGGAGCTCGACAACGATGATGCGTGCAGCGAAGATGAGTTTATACGCAAAATTGCCACCGTTGCGGCCGACAACAGTCCGGGCGATGAGCCGAATACGGCACGGGAAACGCTGAGCTATGCCAGCAAAGGAAGGAACAACAGTGAGCCAAAGTAAGCGGGCGAATTCCCTTCCTCTTGTTCTTCTTCTCCTCTTCTTTTTTTTTCAATGAATGAAACACAAAGGCTAAATCAACAACCAAACTCAAAAACAAACAAACAAGAAAATTTTAGAACATTTTGCATTTGTTCAGAATGAAACTGAACAGATCTCATCTTAAAAAAAAATAAATTTGAAATTTTCACTTGAACAAATTTGTTTCATATTTCTTCATATTGAGATCGAAGAACTGATAAAATCCCAGCTAAATTATCTAAATTGTATAAATCAGATGAAATAAAAATTTGGCATTTAAAATCCATAAAACAAGCTAACAAAAATGTTTCAAAATTGATTATTGTTTTTATTTTTTGTATAAACAAATTTATTAAAATTCTTCAAATCAACAAAGTTTAATTCGTTTAAATAATAAAAAAAAAAAAATCTTACACTTTTTTTTAAGATCTTCAAACGCAATGTTTGATATTTTGAAAAAAAATGTGTTGAAAATATTTTGAAACAAGACTTATGAAAAATTTTTGTTTTAAAATTTTTTAAAATAAAAAAGATTTAGAAAAAGTTTACTTAATTTATATTCTTTTTAATAAGAACAATATTTCGAAAATTTTGTAATTGACAAAAATTATGAATTTATAAAAGATTTTTTTTTGCTTTTAAAAATGTCCGAAAAATTAAAAAAAATCTTTTTTGTAAATAAAAAATTATACATAAATAAATGCGCAAATTTCATTTTTATTTTGACAAACAATTAATTTGAATAAAAAAAATATTTACAATCTTTAAATTCTTGGCCGTTGAAATTTCGAGTCAAATAATTCAATTGAAATAAATTTGTTTAATAATAATTTATATGACTTTTTTTTTCGAGTAAACATGTTTATGTCTATCTTGCTCTAGCTACCCCGCCATTCTCCCTCTCTCTCTCTGTCTCTCTCACTTTCGCTCTCTGTCTATCGGTCATTGTTCTAAGCTCTGTGTGTAAACAAAATGAAACGTTAGCAAATAAGCAAAGCAAGTTAAAAAGCATAAAACTCAAATCAAAATAAATGTTTAAACAAAGCAACAACAACAATAAAACAAAGAACATGAAAATAACTGCAAAGCTAGGCATTTTCCAACAATTAATTTTTCATTCTTTTTATGTTCCAATACAAAAAGAATAAAAAAGAAAAAGTTGAAAAACATTTCGAAAATTTACAAATATTGTTCGTTTGTTATGTACATATGTCTAATTGTGATGTGTACGTTCTCTCTCTCCCTGTCTCTGTGTGTGTATGTGTGTGTGTGTGTGTGTGTGTGTGTGTATTATTTAGTTCATATATCATTTCGCCATCAATTCAAAATTCATCCTGGGTCAGCACGTGTAGCACTAAATTCTTTATTATAAAACATTAATACGCATATGCCAGACAGACGCATGCTCCTGCATAGAATTCCATACCATAAACATATACACATATATATATATATACACACATACATATACACACATGTATATACATATATATATATACATATGCCATAGTAGAATATTTGGAATTTTCTTAGAGTTTTGCAGTCAAGAAGAACAAGTTTTGCGTACGCATTTGCTGCTGCATTCATTGGCCACATTTTGCACCTTTGATTTGAGCTTTTTATGATTTTTGATTGTTTTTTTTTTAACTGCCCGCGCCCGCCTCTCATCATTGCACACAGAGTTCTGCTGAATTTTGACCTTTTGGCGCTAAGTGTAATCATTTGTTTACCTTGATGTTTTAATGCCCATTCGCAGATTCATTGGCACACGCGCCGTAACCCGCGTGGCCAACAAGCGACAGCCCACAACGCCACTGAACAGCATCGCCAGCTCCAACGATAGCCATGTGCAGCTGGAGATCGTGTCGCAGCCGGAGCAACAGCATCGTGCACGCTACCAGACCGAGGGCAGCCGCGGCGCCGTCAAGGATCGCAGCGGCAACGGATTTCCCATTGTCCGGCTAACGGGTTACGATAAGCCGGCCGTGCTGCAGGTGTTCATCGGAACGGACATTGGACGCGTCGCGCCGCACATGTTCTATCAGGCGTGCAAGGTGGCTGGCAAGAATTCGACGCAGTGCAACGAGAAGAAGGTCGACGGCACCATGGTCATCGAGATTGACTTCAAGCCCGAAACGGACATGACCATCACCTGCGATTGCGTTGGCATCCTTAAGGTACGCTCAATTCACAATTAAGCCGGCAAACTCTATAGCTGCAAACTCTTGTCCTTTCAGGAACGCAATGTCGACGTGGAGCATCGCTTTCCGGAGCATCTGGCCCAGAAGAACAAGAAGAAGTCAACACGTTGTCGCATGGTCTTTCGCACGCAGCTAACACGTGACGATGGCAGCACTGAAACGCTGCAGGTCTGCTCCAATCCCATCATATGCAGTATGTATACAATAAACCCATCAATGCTATAACTTAAATACTAGTCTAGAATGTTAGCCACAACCACAACCAAATTCCAAATATATCAATTAGTTTAGCATTCGAGAAGCATTCGACTAGACTAGAGCTGCAAATAGTAGTGCGATTAAGAAATGTTCGACAATAAAATCTAGTGATAAACAAAATGAAATTTGTAAAATTTGGAACGGGTGAACTTGAGAAAGAAGATAGAATAGATAGATAGATAGTAGTAGGTCCAAGTTCATATAGTGTGCTATACATAAACTATTTATTGTATATCCCGGCACCGATAACATTTATCATAGTTAACCATTTCGAGAATAAGAAGTTAGAGAAGAGCCTGAATAAAATCTTGGAGAGCTCAAATTGCTGGAATATAGTCAAAGACGCTCATTATGACACTATCGAAGACTATTTCAACTTAAACCTGATAAATCATTATAGTATAGAATAGTTTGGTGATGATTATGATGATGATTAGGAATTAATTTGGTGGCAAAGGGCCTAACTGATTGGCATGGGCTTTACTTAGTCTAGAAGTGGTAGACCCAAGGGCTCTTTGTGAATTACCTTGTTTAAATGGAGTAGCTGTGCATTGGAGATCGATTCTAAGCGTTATGATTGGAATAGCTGACAGTGCCCCTTGAGAGGTTCAATGTAAATTCAGATCTAGTTCGTACTCTTCTCATTTTTTGAGGGAACGTTTCAAACGAAAACAAATACAAATTCTTAATTTAGCATAATTTTATTTCATTTTACAGCTCAGCCACCCGGTGTGCCGGAGATCTGTAAAAAATCGCTAAACTCTTGTCCCGTCGATGGTGGTCTGGAGCTGTTCATAATCGGCAAGAACTTTTTGAAGGACACACACGTGGTGTTCCAGGAGACCTACGACAGTGTCAATGCCGATGATCCGGCAACTGAATTAGTGGGACGACAGCAGCTAATCGCCGGAACTTCAGCGCTATGGGAGCAAAGTGTGCTGCCCGACAAAGAGTATTTGCATCAGGTAGAGTAAAAAAAAAAAAAAAATTAAAAGAAAAAATATAAAAATAAATAATATAAATATAAATATAAATATAAATATAAATATAAATATAAATATAAATATAAATATAAATATAAATATAAATATAAATATAAATATAAATATAAATATAAATATAAATATAAATATAAATATAAATATAAATATAAATATAAATATAAATATAAATATAAATATAAATATAAATATAAATATAAATATAAATATAAATATAAATATAAATATAAATATAAATATAAATATAAATATAAATATAAATATAAATATAAATATAAATATAAATATAAATATAAATATAAATATAAATATAAATATAAATATAAATATAAATATAAATATAAATAATATAAATTTAATTTAATTTAAATTTAATACATTTTCTATTGAAATTTACAGACGCATTTGATCTGCACAGTGCCGCCATATCTGCACCAGAATATACTAAAGCCGGTCAGCGTCCAGGTGTCCATTATATCGAGCGGCAAGAAGAGCGAGCCCCACACCTTCACCTATACGCCCAAGGGCAGCTATACGACTTTGGCGGCGGCCAGCACGTTAAGTAGCACAATGCATAGCCAAGGTATTTATTTGTTGACTATTTCTATATAAATCAGCAGACCCCTGCAGGCATCATGAACCAACCATATACAAATTAAGCGCGTTTCAAACATGAGCACACACACATACACACAAACACACACACACTCAGACACTTAAATGACAATTGAAAAACTAATCCGTCGTCGTCAGGCAGTCGTCGCAGGCAGGCCAGATAAATGCACTAACGCTAGTCTGTCAAATGAATAAGAAATACATGCATACCTACATAGATATATGCATACATACATATGTACATACACGTACCTATCATCCAAACTTATGTATGTATGTATCTATTAGTTAACTCGTTTAACTTGATTATCAAAAACAAATGAAAAACTAAAAAAACTGAAAATTCTGCAAAGTTGCAAACACAAAACTTAATTAGTTAGTTTAGCTAATTAGTAGTAGAGTTATAGAATCATAAATCGATAATTTTTAAATAATAATATATATAATTTTAAAATGCAATAATTCGAATCCCTTTTCAAACATTTAAAGATCTCATGCGTTATTCTGTAGGCGAGTTTTATTTCTTCTAACTGTTGAAACTCTCAATTTAGATATAATATATTAAAAAATAAATAAAATAAAATAAAATAAAAAAAAATAAAAATAAAAATTCAAAATACTATTGGACAACAAATTTTATTTATTTGAGTTCAATTTTATTTGAAATTCTATTAATGAGAACAAGCGAGAACATTGCAGCCGGGCGTAACCGACTGTAGAATACTCATTCATGGCCCAAACACAGACAGAAATAAATCATAAATAAAATCGGTAAATATACACATTTGCCATGCCTCCAACGAGGCGTCCTAATAGAGGATGGCAGCAGTAGTTAAATTTTTATTTCCTTCCCGATTTAGTTTCCCTTTAATGAATGAGTAAAAATACCAAATGCAGAAAGGCTTAAATAAAAAAAAAAATCGAAATTCTATAAAATTCATATGAATCTATGTTTGAAATTTGGAGACACTATCTCTAAAGATGTAGGAAATATAATTTTATAATAGAGTTTCGATATGGTTTGTTATCGATAATAAAACAAACGGGGGTAGTTATCGATTTTTTGAAACAAACATTTACACCCAGTTTAGCAGCTGTTTCACTCATTATCAAATCATCATGGTTGCATGAATCAAATCATGTTTCTTCCTAAAAAAAATGCCAAAAGATTAATAAAGTAAATAAACTAAAATCCATTTGCAATCCACACTAAGAGTGATTCAGATTTGATCATTCAGAGCATTTCAAATTTTGTTGCTTGCCTCGCACTGTGACATTTTAAATTTAAGCAAAGGGCCAGAATAACGCATGAAAACTGATAACACAATATGAGATCAGATAATAACAATTATAATATATATAAGTAGGGAAAATCTGCGTAAAAGCAAAATCAATCTACAAATAAAACAAGAGATCTATAAATTAAGGTAAATACTATATGTAAAACTTTTAGGGTACAAACTCGTAATATATATCGGAAGTTAAATAAAAATTATTTAATTTATAATCAATCAATCCGGCATAAACTAAACCAAAAGAAGAAGAAACGAATTCTGCGACGCTGAAGAAACAATACTAGGATGCTTTCAAAATGGAGAGTTAACAATTGCGCGAATTCGGCTTTACTCTATCTCTCTCTTACACTCACTCTCTCTCGCTCTCTCTGTCTGCAATCTATCTATCTCTCTTACTCCCATTGGATTTCTTACTGAATGAAGCCACGAAGGAAATGTGATTGAAACAACTCTGTTGAGTGAATGTGTGTTGCAAGTTGATGTTGTCGAATCGAGATACCCTGTAAATGGCATACACTTCAACTGGAAGTATTGGACTTGCAGTTTGCTTGAGTCTTACTTTTGGGGATTTTTATTTTATCGATAACTTATGTGTGCGTGAGAGAGGGCGGGAGAGGGAGGCTTTGCATGTATGAGTGTGTGTGTGTGTGTGTGTGGAATACAGAGTTTTTTTGATCACGTTTCTGCCGCACAGTGTCCAGCGCCTGCAGCTAACGAAGCATCAACCGATAAACGATACCCGATTACAAGCAAATTAAAGAGGATATGCAGATGAAGAGATAATAATTAACAGAAAATGAAGAAGAAGAGGAAACTTAATATAAATGATTAAAAAAAGATGAAGAAGGCAGCCATTCGTTCAATTTCTTGTTCAGGGAAATCTGGCAGAAACTTTATCGCAACACTAATTACAACAATCCAACCAAAAAAAAAAAAATTTTTTTTAAATACATAAAATAAAAAAATATACATATATATATTTTTACTTTATTCTTCCTCCCCTTCCCCTTTCTTAGCAATTTAGGTACTCAATATACTATATAGTCAAATATGTAACCATTTTGAGTGCTATAAATGCAAACAAGAGAAAAGAAATGAAACAAAATACAAATAAAACAATTTCTAGTCACGAAAAGTTTCCCAATTACAAAAATCAAGATCCAAAACCAAGTATTATCAAATTTAAATTTAAAATCGGCCAGCTAAAAAGCCAACGCAATGCAATAAGCAAAACAAACAGCTGATTTGGAACTGAACGACAACAAATATATATGTATATACATATATATGCACATATATATATATATATATATCTGTATGTAGTATATGAATACAATTCCAAATATTAGACACAAAGATATATTCTGGCATGTACACGTATATACTTATATATACATATGTATATATACTTATATATGTGTCCTGGGGTCAATCACCCTCTACATCTCTACATACATATATGTATATATATACAAATATATATATATATATATATATATATATATATATATATATATGCACATCCAGATATTTTGGTACATCAAATGGTCAAATGGATAACTGCAAGTGGAGCAGCTGAATCTACCGGGAACCTCCTCCAACGGGAACTACAGCCAGCCAGCCAACGACTGATACAGCACGACAGCACGAGACGCCGCATCAGCCACATGGAGCCAGCAACACGTCTTAAGCACCATTTATTTAGGGTACTGGTGATACAAAAAAAAATAAATAAAATAAAATACAAAAAAAGACCAACAAAATACTGAAAAAATCTATTGAAAAATTCAATCATTGATCTCGTTTGACACCATTTATATATATATATATATATATATGTCTACCATTATAATTAACTTTAAACCTAGCTTTACGCATACATACATACATACATACATACACATACATACACACACATATACATACATATATCCAGTAATAACAGAAAAAACACGTGCATCAAAAATTTCTATAGGTACATATATAACAATATATGTACGTATATACACGTACACATTCCAGTAATTGTGAAAGTCTCAGTCATTGATGTCAGCATGGGCTGGGTTGCAGTAATATATACTCGTATATATAGATTTTTATATCGCTCTCATACATTGATCACATGCTTTTAATTGTCATCGATTTATCGATACATTACAGATATGCTCTCCATGCTTCGCATAGCCCAAATTCCCCATTCATAAAGCGATCGATCATTTTATAAGTGGTAATGGTTTATAATTTATAGCAACGATTTTGATCGATTTATCGATTAGATTAGAGCTTGCACTCAGACTGCTTCATCATCACAAAAAAGAGAAATCCCACTCATCTGCTGCATTTATCTTCTGAATAAAAACTTTTGTTGTTGCCATCAAGTATTTGACACAACAATAGAACTATCGATAATTATCGATAATTCGCTGCACAATTTAGGCAACAGAAACTTGTTAACGCTCTTTACGAGGTAGTGATGGGACTCACCTAGAACGAGTGGATTATTTAGCATTGCTCGCACTTCAGAGCCTCAGCATTACGCCTAGAGAAATATCAACTAAGACTAAACTACGTTTCTTTTTTAGTATTATTTTTTCTATAATACCAACTGGTTGGTGGTGGTGCAGTTGAACTAGTTCATTTTCCTTTGTCAATGTGACAATGGTGTGGTTAACATTTACAACTCTACGTTAAGGGTATTCCCACTTTTTACACAAACTATTTTCTTTTTTTTATTTTGTTTTTGTTTTTATTTATATTTTATTTGCCTGCCCAACCAGGCATTCATTCTACTCTACTAATCAACATATCAATTACACACACACACATATATATTACACACCAGAAATAATATATATTTATATATTAATAATGATAATAATAATAATAATATTAAGGATACGAATATAATCTTAGTATATTTATTTAATAAGAGCGATTTTAAAACTAGTTTTAAGTTTTGGCTCTGGAAATTGCTTTAAGCGCGAAAGAAAGAGAGGGAGAGAGAGAGAGAGAGAGAGAGAGAGGAAGGCACGGAATGAGAGAGATAGATAAAGAGAGAGTGAATGCGATTTGGCGTTGTATAAAAGAAAGTTGTTTGTTTTGTTCGTTTATGGCATCTGGTACGATGCAACTCCGTCTGTGCTTTACCGGGATTGTTCCACATTTGAGTGAATCACGTTCATAATATACAGAGATATCTACATATATAGGGTCGAGTCGATGGAGTTTACTTGCTTATAGCTATGTGTGTGTGTGTATGTGTTTTTTGGGCGTGACTGAACAGTAACTGATCTGATCTGATGAAGATTTTGAATGAGTTTGACTAAAGCAATTTCCAATACGTATGCACACACCTATATATAATAAATATATAGTATATAGTATATATAGCTTGTATCATTTAGGCACTAATTGCCATAAGACTTAACCATATAAAGCGTAGACACCATATGAACCCTTTTATAATAAACAAAAATAGATTTTTTATTTAAATATATATAAATCTATCCATCTAGCTGTCTATCTGCCTCTATATCCTATATAGCCCAGCTAAGTGGTAGTTAAAATCGAGAGCATTTCTTTAGTTTTACTTCTAGCTCTAAGTTCTCTATTAGTTACGTAGGCTATAGATCATAGCTATAAGCATTTGCTCTCTAGTTTTAACTACAATTGGCTGACTATCTCTCTCCCACTCTTAATCTCTCACTTCCCTTCCCTTCTCTCTCTCTCTCTCCCTCCCTCTCTCTCTCTCTCTCTCTCTCTCTCTCTCGCTCGCTCTCTCGCTCTGTTCACCTACATCTCCAGCCAAAAACCTTAGCCGTAAGCGCTTTCCGCCCCGCCCTCTTTTATTTATATTTATATATTTTTAATGCCTTTTCTAATAATTATATTTGTTTATTTTATGATTTCCTTATCGATACGTTATATATACATATATACATTTTTTTGTTAATTTGTTTGACCAACTCGACCAACCCCTGACAAAGAAAGCCTCCACCGACCCGACCCGCCCCGCCCCACCCAAACACAAACTCCTCGACGCACCCGTCAACCGCGCAATTGCCACCGCCTGTGTACTAAATATGCGTCTCTTGTACTTGTAGATGTCGCCAGCTTCATGGACACGAGCAGTGCGCCGGCCAGCAGCAACGGCGCCTGGGGCAGCGCCGCTGGCAGTGCGGCCGTCGTTGCCGCCGCCGCAGCCGCTGCCGCCGCTGGGGCGGCCGGAGCCGGCGGCGTGGTGGAAACGAAGCATGAGCTGGACCTGGGCATGATGCCGCCACCGATCACCACACAGATACCGATGGGACTGCGACGATCCTCGTTGTCGGGCGCCACGCCCATGATCACCGATCAGCAGCTGGTGCATCTGAGCGCCGATGCGGCGCTCAAGAGCGAGCTGCTGGACGAGAGCAGCTCGCTGAGTCCACGCACAGCCGAGACGCTGCACTCGCCGGAGGCGCTCGATCCCTGCAGCCCCAATGCCCTGCAGTATCATGCGCACTATGCGCGCGAGGGCAGCCTGGACACGATCATGTACGATCGGTCGAATAGTATGCCCGGTTTTCCGGTGCCCGCCGCGGCCACTGTTGACCTCGATCCTGCCGCGGTGGCCGTGGCCGTTGGGCTGGCCGTCAAGCACGAGATTATCCAGCAGCAGCAGAACCAACAGCAGCAGCAACAGCAGCAGCAGCAGCTGGAGCAGCAACTGGAGCAGCAGCAACTGGAGCAGCTGGAGCAACAGCAGCAGCAGCAACAACAGCAGCAGCAACAGTCGGCGGCAGCGGCGGCCAATGTGCACAAGTTCATCGACGATCTGACCAAGTCGACGTCTGTGGTGAATAGCAACGGCACCAGTGAGCCGGCTCTGTTCAACAGTGCGTCGGACATCGACCACGCGCTCACCGATATACTGCAGCAGAAGGTGGGCGTGCTGACGCACACGCACACACACACGCATCAGCACTCGAATGGAGCGGCCACAGCAGCGCCGGGTGTCCTCAAGCGCAGCCTCTCCATCAGCAGCAGCAACTCGAACTCGAGCTCGCTGTCCGGCAGTGAAACGTCGCCGAATAGCTCGCCGATCACGCAGGACATCATCCTGAACTCGGAGCCGGCGGCAGCGTTGGGCGCCGGACTGCCGTTGCAGCAGCTGGCAACGGTGCCGGCTGCCGCAGCAGTGGCCAATGCCGGCGGTGCTCTGTCCACGGACATCATTATGAATCCGGCCGTATCGCCGTCGACCATACTCTGTTCGGCGAACGGAGCCGCCACGGCGGTGGTGGCCAACATTCTGGCGCCCCACCAGGTGACCATGGCCAATTCGATATTGAACAACATTGCCATGCAGGCGGAGCCGACGCGTCAGGATGCCGCTGTCGCTGCCCTGGCGCTGAGCAACATTATGATGAGTCCGCCGAATGCGGCCGCCGGCGTCAGTGTCGATGTTGGTGACACGTTGCCGCCCACGCCGGCCGTCATGCAGCCGGAGGTGGCTGCCACGGCCACCTCGACGGCGGTCAGCAACATGATCATCAAGGCTGCCGCCGATTATATAACCACGCAGGAGCAGGAACAGCATCACTTTCACCAGCAACAGCAGCAGCAACAACAACAGCAGCAGCAACAGCAACAACACCAGCAGCAACAGCAGCAGCAGCAGCAGCAGCATGCCCATGCGCATTCCCATTCCCATGCACATGCACACACCCATCCCCATCCACATCCGCATCCTCACCCGCATCCGCATCCGCATCCCCATCCGCATCCGCATTCACATCCGCAGCAACCGCAGCAAGCAGCGAATGCGGCTGCCAGTGCTGGCGATCCGCTCGTCAATCTGCTGCTGAACCACACGACACCGGAAACCGTGGTGGTCGAGGCTGCTGCCGTTGCGGCTGCCGCCGCCGCCGGCTATCCAACGTTGTCCGGCGTCCATCTGCCGGTGGTGCCGCCCACACCACAAGAATCTCTCATTGTTGCGCTGGCCACTGAGAATGCGCTGCAGAAGTCGGTGGCCACCGCGGCCATTACCACCAACGGAGCGGTAATGACCCAGCAGGCAACGACGCCCAGCAGCACCGGCAGCATCCTGCCGGCAGCCGTGGGCGCTGTCGCCGCAGCCGCCGCCGTTGCCGTGCAGCCGCCCATACCACAGGAGCTGACATCAATGTCCGACCAGGACCTAATCAGTTATATTAATCCGAGCACCTTCGATCAGCGTGAGTATCCAGTAGTAAATCAGATTAACTAGTTTCCTGCCAACCTTAGTGATAACTTTATCTACATATGTAGTGGATCAACTCGCTTGAGATATCTTAGATTAAGATCTGAAAGATCTTAGAAAGTGATCGAAATAGGAATCAAATCTCTTCTATATGAGCTAAAAAAAAAGTTATCAGCTACTATAAAGTTAAGGGATAGAGAATTTGGAGAGAAGCAAATAGTACTAAAACCATATAGCATAAATAGTACTAAATCCAACCGATACTAATAGAGGCATCTGTGCATTAGCCTACAGAAGTTGTGCTTCAGCTCTTATATTTGTATGAGTTTTTATAAGAGTCTATCATGTTAATCGATAACACATCTCGCTTACTATCGATAATATCTATAATATAAGTTGGCTATTTTTAGCATAGTTTGAATACCACCAGAGCTTATGGCGCTCAATTTACTGCACAGTTACTGCGACTTTGAGTAGTACGGACCTTGGACCTTCCATAATATCCAAGCATCCAGCTTCATAAAATCTAAAGAATAAATAAGCACGTCTGTGCATGTATTGTTGGCTATGCATTTATGTCTAAAAGAAACGTAGAATAAATATAACAGCTAAGCACAGGGTTCCGGGTATCTCCTAGTCGGGCAATTTCTTCTACTACAGACTCAACTTGATTGCTATAGAAGAAGAGATTTCAAGTAAATGTATACTTAATATGAAGACTTATATTATTAATAATATATGCATTTCATACTATAATTATAATATAATGATAACTAATATATTTGCTTTCTTTTTCTTTTGCAGTTTAAACGGCAACAGATCAACAAATTAAACTATTGGGTTATTTTTAAACAAATAAGGGGAAACCACACAGGCCTAATCCTAAGCGTATAAATAGTAACAATGAAGAACACACACATGCAAACATACACACACACACACATACACACACACACAATTACACTTTTTAATGTGGACCAAATGTTGTCAAGTTTTTGTTTTTTTTTTTTCTTATTGTTTGGCTATCAGCAAACAATGAGAATTGGCATATTAAATAGCCTCACACATACACACACACATACACACACATTTGTATTGTTTTAAGCACACTTGTTAAGCTGTAGACCCTATAGATATACTTTTTTTTTTTTTTTTTTTTTTTTTTGTTCTCGTTAAATCTAAATTGATTTTTTTCAACAAAAGTCAAATTATCTCAAAATGATAACGACTGCCATATAAATACATGATTATAAAGGAATAATACAAAAACAAATGCAAGTAATCGCCCCAACTAAATAATAATGCAAAGACAACGCACAAAAAAAAAATTTTTTTGTTTTTAAATATATATTGAATAAAAGAAAACACACCCACACCCACACACACACATACACACAATTATATACCAATTTAAATTAACTAATTAATATTGTAATTTGCATGATTTGTGTATTATTATTTTGTTGCGTTAATGTCCCGAAACTTTTTGAAAGTTTTAAGTCTGATTTGATTTACGAACTATTTTTTATGCAAATATCTATGTATGTTTATATATATATATATATATGTGCATATACTTGATATGTATTTCTATTATTTTATACTTTCTTATTGTTTTGTTTTTTTGTTAAGGGGTTTGCAAAATCAAAACATAAATTACATGTAAAAAAAAAAAAAAATATTTATAGCCTACGAATATGAATATGCGAAAATTCCAAAAGACTTTTTTATTTAAAACGCGACGAAAAGAAAAATATTTTATTTTCGAAATTGTTCGAAGTTTTTAATGTTTAAAATTAAATCGAAATGATGAGGTAACAGCACACAAATAATTATTAATTATATATACATGATTTTTTTTTTTTTTTTGGTAATTTTAATATATTATTATTTTTATTAATTATTAAATGTAATCGTAGCTCAGAAGGCCACAAGTCAGAGAGTTATCTAAATTCTATATATAATCGTTCACCAGTTTGAATATAACTATGTGCTATTGTTTTTTCTTTTATTTTTTTTTTAAGTGCGCATGGCTTAGTATTACCAGACGCATCAAAAACAAAGCCACAGAATATACATATACATACAATATCATTTGATTACCAAGAACAACAGCCACAAACAAAATATATACTATATACATATATAAAACTAAAACAACAATTATTATAATCTGAATTTTGAATGGGTTCAGTGTGTAAGATGAAAGCCCCCTCTTGAATATGCATTTGTACGCCTGTACCTACAATTTGTTGTACGATATTTATACCTAAATATTTATTATATATAAAAAAAAAGAAACAAAACGCATAGAACTTGACGAATTTCGCCGTGAATTAATTGAAAATAAATATATATATATCTATATTATACATAAAAATAAAAGTAAAAAGAAACAGGCTGCTACAGTTAGGTTTGAACAAAAATATAACTATACATACTATACAAATATAAACTTTAGTTTAAAATAAAAATCCAGAAAATCCATAAAATGATATTTTATAATACTTTCAGCAAACAGCAAATGCAAATCCATAGAGTTTCACACAGTTCAATGCTATTAGGTGTTACGTAACTATGTTAAAGACAATCTCAGAGATTGCATATATTACATATATTCCTCACATTTACAAATCTATATCAATTTTTCTTAAAAGAATTAAATGTATATACAAATATTTTTATTGCCTCGAGTTGGTCTCTATAAGACCGAAGAAACAAAGTAAAGCTGAGAGCTAGATTTTACTTTAGAAAATCCTAAATGCATATTTATACAATATATTTTGCTTCATCGTACAGCAACAAAGCTGATGTATTTTTGATGTCATTTACAGCAAGTGGACTAACGTGGAAATTCAATTTCACCACAGCATTGTTATCAAAATCAAATATCATTCAAATCGAAATTATTTTCACCGAATATACATACATGTGTTTGAATATGAAATAAAATTGAATTCAACCTATTGTAAACGATCCAAATGTTATATATATTTTGCAGTTAATTGTTATAGAGGGGTATACAAAAATTTACGTCAGCAACTCGTTTGTCACCTTTTCACACATATAATTTGCTATTTGCTATCTCTTTCCATTCCATCAACTCCGAGCTCTTCTCTTTGATGGGAAGTGAGAAAAGTGTTAAATGTTAAGCAAGCATACTTAATGGGAGCTCACTTGAATGGGATTGGAAAAAGGAGAGGGAAAGAGAGAGTGGTGCAGCCTCGTATTCAGGTGCGTTGGCCCATATGCTTCTTGGGTGCAGTCGACTTGGCTGCCACTTGCGATTTGCGTTCGCTGGGGCGTCCATGTGGCCGACTGCTATGCCCCATGTTTGCGAATCCCGCTTCCAAATCTGCGCCCGCTCGTGCTCGACGCTCTTTCACCGTCAGCGCTGTACACATCCAGTTTGGTTCTGACGAACGTGGCGATTCCTCGGGCATCGAAATCTAGGGCGAACCCACACATCCACATCATCGATCGACACTTATATACAATTGATACTTACAACTATTGAGTTTGGTAACGACATTATCGAATATTAAGGGAATTTAAAATAATAAGTATAAGGTTTTTTTTTTTTTTTTGTTGTAGAGTCGGTAAAATATGTTTGGTGTATGAATGCTTTAAGAATATAAAACAAAGCACCTAACGATCGGCACAGCATAGCCTACTGCTAATACTACTAGAGCTGAGCTAGACAATTTTTAGAATTTGATTAAATACTCTGCTGTAGGAAGAGCGCAACGCGCTCGATGCGATTGCCGTATCCAATCCGTGCTGACAGCCTGCACTGGCTGAGCAGTGAAATGTCTCTGATACCATTGCTCAAAGTCTTGGGGGTTGAGGCGATTGGGACATACGAGCACAAGCGTAGGATGTGGCTGCCCTGTTTCGCTAACCAGCTGTCCGCCACGCTGGATGAAGAGCAGCCTGGCCAGCTCGTCCGCATCGCGATTATACATGCAGGCGTAGTGCTTGGCAAAGATGTTGAGGCTTTCACTACCCAGCAGTTGTTGCTCCAGTTTTTGCAGCTCATGCTCATCCACATCCAAGGAGTCCAGCTCTGCATCGCTGATGTCTTGCAGCACTTCCTGCAGCTCATCGATGCTTTCAAACAAATCCGTAAAGCTATCACCGAACCTATCAAAGCTCTTCGCAAATTGCAATTGCAGCGCTTCGGTCGCGGATAACACATCCCTGGGCCGTAGGTCAATCTGCTGCTTATTGCACACACGCAGCAGCCAATCCATGCGTAAAATGTCATTTGTGCGTGGCTGCTGTTGCATCAGACGCTTAACCAGGTAAACCGGATCACCGGCTATGCAGATGCACTTGGGATCGTTCGGCAAAGGATTCTGAACAATTGTGCCGCCATTCTGAGCGGCCAATACTTGAAGCTGCTGTTTGCTATGCTCGCGGCAACCGCTCAATATGCAAAAGGTGAAACCCTCAAACAGCTGAGAGCTGCTCTTCAAGGGCTCTGCATCGTAGCGCTTCTCGTAGGCAGCCAATCCGAGGCGATTGCGTTCAGCTGGCGTCATCTTTTGGCGCTTGCGCTCCGTCGTGAAGTCGCTGAGGTTCGCCGGACGCTTGTTCAGTTTCTTAATGGCGCCGCGACCCTGTAGAACGAATATTAATTAAAATGAATTATCACAATTGATAAGAAGAATTTCAGACCTGACAAAGTTGTGTATATTCCTCCAGCGTCATGCACTCGTGCCAGACCTTGTCGATGCGCATCATCTGCGTGCGCGGAAAGTGCAACGATTTGGGCGTGTAGTAGGCGCCATTGGGCGACAGATCCGCCGCCTTCACTTGCAAGATTATCGACTTTTCGGGCTGGATCCAGACGTCGGGAGCGCCCTCCTTCTCGTTGGGCCTGTAGTGATACCACAATGGCGGTGGATCCGTGCTCGCATTACGCCAATGGGGCTTCAATTCATTGTGAAGAACGCCGCGTTGGCGCGTATTATTGGCCACGCATCCGATGCTATAGACCTCGTCGCGCTCAGTGCCACCGCCCGGTTTCAGCACGCCCAACAGGAAAGATTCGATGAAGGTTCGTTTTCGATTGTAAAAGCCGCCAATGATCAGCACATCGAACTCAGTGATTAGGCCCTCTATGTACTGCTCAGAGAATAAAAGAGATGAGGATTTTGTTAAAGTAAAAAGCGTTACTCAAAGGCGACACTCACGTCCGCTTTGTCCTTGTACCAGCCGCCGCCCACACGCACTCCAGGCCTATAAATGGAGTTCTGTTTCTTTAGCACAATGCCCTCAGCATTGGAGTCAAGCATCTGCTGGAACAGCGTGTTGAAGTGGTCAAGTGAGGTGATTTTCTGACCCCTCATTATCTCCAGAATGCCCGGCTGCTCTGTGAGCAGCTCCTGCAACTTATAGGCGCGCTGCACATATGTCATGTCCAGCAGGCTCTCTCCGTTGAGATAGAGCAGATCATAGACCACAAAGCAGGGTCGCCAGCCGCGGTCCGGTTTCAAATGCTTCACATCTGTGTTCTCGCCCTTCTCGCGATACCGCATCTGCTGTGTGTCCCATATCATCATTTCGCCATCGAGTATGATCGACTCCATGCCCAACGGCAGCAGCGTGCGCAGGTGTGGCGTCAAGGTGCCGCTCTCGTAGCTGCCGCCAAAGCTTCTCGTATAATCGGCGCCGTTGCGGGATATATACTTAAACATGCCGCGTGCATAGTGCAGCTGAAACCGCTCGCCATCCATTTTCCTTTCCAAATATAGCACATCCGACTCCATAAGGCTTTCGATCTTGCCCGGGAATCTTTCGCACAGCATGGGACGTATTAGCTGAAAGGGCTCAATGATTGTATTTAAATTGATGGTTGTGCTGGAGGTTGCGCCACTAGCATTGCCAGCGCGCGCAGACGACGCTTCCTGGGCCATCTTGTTGTCCGCCAGCAGCATGCAGATGCGCTTTAGATCTGAACAACGCTGATACATGTCCTTGGCCAGCGGATGAAGCAGCCCGAAAATTCGTTGCTCGCCAATACCCAAACCCATCGACTTGAGCAGGATGCGTATCAGCCATTTTTGCTCCTCGGCCGAAGCTAGTTCCGTAAAGCGTGTCAGTTCGCGTTCCTTTACTAGAGAGCACATGGAATGAGTTGATTGCAGCATTAGTTATTCAGCTAGATGTCCAGAAATAACTAAATACCAGTTGTATCCTCGCTGGCAATAATGTCGAGCATGTCATGGATTTGCTTCAACGTCAGATTACTCGGCTCG